CGGTTCATTTTGTATTCGGTATACCGATTTATAGGAGAAATTAACAAAACCACGAAAATAGGTTGACGCTTAAGTGTATTAAAAAATAGACGACTGCAGAAAAAATTGACACTGATGCAACTGATGGAGAAATTTTAATTAATAATGTTTATTTCGATTTTTCCAGGATATCGTATTATAACTTACAAAAGTTACTGTAATTCCGTCAATAAAAAGAGTTAAGCTCTTTTTGAAATTCAACTATTTCTTTGTTCTTGACAATCCAATAACAAAGAAATAGTTGCCTTTTAAACATAACTCAATTAAATGTGATAGAATTGAACATTGTTGTTCAAAGTTTTCATTTAAGAAAAGTGTAAATTTCGTTTCTATTCCTTTTTCTGTCAGTTATTTTTCAAAAACTCAAAATAAGTGAGATGGATATAACTGCGGCATATACATTTCAACAATGTAATAAAAAATATTCTTAAACAATCAAAAAAGAACCATAAGTCTATAGGAATGGTATTTGAAATACAAATACTTCATTATTGTTAAAGGAAAACAGGTGCAGATAAGAGAAGAGTAAAGAATAGACTAGAGTGCAAGAAAGAGTCGAAATAAAACAGCATAAATCTCATAAGAAGAATTAACACAATTAATTTATAAAGAGATATTCCAGGTTATTTTTAACTGAACGAAAAAATAAACATAAATACTGATTCAACAAATAAAAAAATAACAACAATAAACAAAAATAAATATTATATAAACAGTCTACATAAATAAAGTTAAACGCGACTGATTAATACTGACGTCAAGTCATGAATATAAAATTAACGGAGTAAACGTAAAGCAAACCAGAAAAAGAGAATGTTGACAACGTAAAATGATAAAATTTACAAAGGATAGCAAAGAAAAGATAGCGAAACACTCACAGAAATGTAGAAGCCAAAAATAAGAAGGTAAACAACGCCATGGAATATTAAAAAAAAATTAAAAATAAATTAATTTGTAAGCCAAATAACCGGGTCATGACGACAAAAAGGGAATCTGAAAAGAGAAATATAATTTTTAGAAACTGAGAAAACACGGCAAAACAGCAAATATCACATAAGGTAGTTACAAGTACAAGTGAAAACAAAATATTTTATATCGTCCAGTTCAAGGTATGTCAAATTTAATTACTGTGAACAAGGTACCGTTGACGGTGAACGTAAGAGAGGGCGTCAACGCAAAAAATTGGTTGGACAATGTCAAACAATGGACAAGTATGACTATACCTGAATTGCTGATGGCTGCCGTTGATAAACTGTTGCGGAGGAGAATCAGTGTGGCTTCTGCGTTCGAATCCGCCTACGATTACAAAGGTCATGATGATGATGATGATGATGATGATGATGATGATGATGATGAAATAAATATGGATTAAATATGCCAAATACTGCGAATGACAAGGTCAGAGTAAAGGAGAGTGAGAATAAGTAAACTATTAGAAATTTGCATTAGGACATTAAAATTTGTGCCCATTAGGAATGATTCCAAAGACTATTGTAGAGATTACCACTAATCTCTGGTACTGACTGAAAATTGGTCTAATGCAAAAATCTGCAATAATACTGAGGAGAGCGACTGTTACTCAATCTCCAACAATGACCCCGTTCTTCATTGAATGAGAGATGAACAAAAATAAATAAACGATAAGAAGAATAGAATAAAAACAAGTCCATAAAGAAATCTGAAAATAAAACTGTAGACGAAATGATTTGGACAGAGCTTAGAATATAGGATTTTTATAAGCCCTATGATTTTTAGAATATAGGATTTTTATAAGCCCTATGAAAAAAATGTTTGTGGTAACGTTGATGTTAAATCCAAAGCACACGACAAAGACAGACGACACGAGCCAAGTTTTAAAAAAGAGAAATACGCTACATTTATTGAATACACAAAATGAAAGGAAAATTACACAAATAGGTGCTTTGTGTACCAATAATGGCCAGTAACATGTTTATACAAATAGAAAGCATATAATGCAAATATAAGTGTATAGTGCAAAAATATGCCTTTTTTACAATAAAGGATATAGACTTATACCTTTTACAATAAAGGATATACTATAAAGTATGTTGTTTTACAATAAATATATAAAATATACTGCATAAAGTCACCAGAAAGTTAAGCGACGTTATAACAAATATAGAAAAGTGAAAGGTTCTATTTCTCTGAATAGTTTTCAAGTAGAAGTTACAATGTCCGTAGCAACATTTCATGATAACAGTGAAGAAAAGATATCACCCCAGTCCTTGAATTTTACTTAGATAAGGGAGCAGTCTTGATTGGTTTCCATCCTCGGCTGGCGGTATCAAATTTCTTCTATGTCTTGAACGGAGTGATCTGGATTCAACCAGCAGCTGAAGATGTCATTTTTTCTCCCGTTCGATTCAATTCTTTTCTTTTAAACACCAAAACCGGCTCCAGATTGTGTCTCGGGATTTGGAGCGAAGCCCTCTAATTGGTGCCGAAATAAATCACACGCCGCTATTTTTCCACATATCGGAAGGACGCAAAATATTTTTTGAAAGTCAATAGTTTTATTTGGGGCCTAAAACAGTGTCTGCTTTCCCTCAGAAAAGTAGATGATATATGTTCAATCAGTTTAAATTCCTTATAAGAACTGAACATTCTTAACACGTAACTCAGAGGCCAAATTAAAAATCTCATAACAGATTATAGCAAAACCGAAATATCTGTATATATTTCTGAACCGAACTCTTTATTTCCACGGAGGACGAAATAATGAGTTCGGTTCGAAATTCTATTTACCTGAAGAAGGTCGGAGCGTACAAGACTGAAAAGTTGTGAATATGGCAATGAAGATGAGGATAACAGTTCGAGTAATGTAAATAATGTTAGTAAAACCGAAATAGAAAGGACGCAATGAAATGTTATCTGTAAAAGACAAAGGAAAAGAGAAGCAGAGAGAGACAGCGACAGAGACAGAGAGAGAGAGACAGAGACAGGGACAAAAGAGGGACACATATTTCGTTAAATGCAACAAAACTGGTCTAATAAAAATATAATATAAGTGGGAACAGCGATTACCTGAAAACTGTTCAAACGTCTTACGATTAGAGGAAAAAGAGGAAATTCTTAAAACAGGAAAGGTTAGAAAATTGGTAATTTACAAAATCATAATTCCAGGATGGTTGTAAAGAAGGTGTAGAAATTTGTCAAATCGTACATACTGGAAAATCAGTGTTGTAGCGAAATGTTGTAGTGAGTGTTGTGAAATATTGTGGTGAGGTTAGAAATCGTGAAAACCCTTTGATCAGGTTTTGCTTTTGATAAAATATGATTACAAGGCGAGAAAATATACAAATATAATGATATAAGCTGACAAGTAAAATGAAATTGTGGAAAATGAGGTTAATCCTTCTATCCGTCATTAGTAGAGAACAAGAGACCCGAACAATACGAATAAAAAATTTCATTTTCACAGACTCTGTTGACAGAAATACTAAATAACTTTTCGAGAAACTTAACGGAATTTTGTCTGTAAATCTGGCTACAAATCACATCCTGTGTAAACATATAAAAATAAAAATATGAAGTTATTTTTGTGGTTATATGGATTATCAATGATCTAACAAGTAAAAATATAGTGTTATTTTTCGTAAAATAAGAAATAATTTATTTCAAACCGTTAGCAGTACATGAAAACGGATTTAACCGTTTTCTTGTACTGTCTTCGAAAAATTACGCGTTTCTCGTAAAAATGGTGGTAGTTTGGTTGCTTTCATGTCTTTAGTTAATATTTTTAATATTCTGCATTTTTTTTTCTTTGTCTACATTCACAACTTCAACTTCTTCAAATGTCTTGATTTTTCTTTCACACAAAGAAATTTTTCAAATTTTTTGGTGAAATTCTTAAACCATTTTTTTCTTTTTTGATGTTTTCTAATTTCTGTTTTAATTGTTACAATCTCTGTTCAACTTTGTCATTTCCAGGGATGTTTTCACATTACCCAAGAACCCAAGAACTACCTAAGTATTTCAACGTAAAAAAAAATTAACAATTATATTTTTTGACACTATTTACATTGTTCCTGCTGTAGTCCTCATCTTTATTGACATATTCACGACGTTTCGACTGTTGTACACTCCGGCCTATTTCGGGTGATAAACGTTGAAATTTCGAACATAATTTATAATTTTATCACGAAAAGCATTTATGAATGTCTCCTGTGGCAATTAAAAAAATAATGTCATCGTAATCAAAGCCATAATGTCACTAGGACGTAGGGTAGTGTATAGGGAGTGAAAGAGAATGAAAATACTTTTGGTGAGTAGAAGTGAGGAAAAGGACAGGTATTACGAGTTGGCTACATGGAAGTAATTTCTTGGTGTGAGCTTTTTAATGCCACGATCGATTTTAAAACTGCATCGTAAATGTATGAATGTAGACACCTACCTAAAGAATTAAGGTTTTTTGTTTGCATTCTGTGCAAGTGTTTCTACATTTATAAGATATAGATATCTAATATTATTTAATTAATATTTTACAAGCAAGTAGGGTTATAAAAGAAGGAAATATGTTGTTCTTTATAAACAGAAAAAAGCGTAAAAATATAATACCAAAATAACGCACAAGCCTACAGAGACAAAAGACGAAAGTATAAATTTTAATCAATTCACCCCAAGCAAGGCGATAATGCCACTAATATTCAAAGGGCTACTAGGGGGGAAATAGAATGAAAAAGACTTTAGAAGGAAACGGAAATCCAATCCTAAATAGGAAACAAGGATAAACCTCTATTTCTGTTCATAAATCGGGGAGGACATGAACCGGGTTCGATTAGAATTTGTTGTTTTAATTGTTTTTATATATATATATATATATATATATATATATATATATATATATATATATATATATATATATATATATATAGTAAGAAGATAACAGCATTTATTACAAATGGATTGGATACAGAATGCATAATTTATTCAGCTGAGAG